CTTTATACTTACTAGTATCTTCTAATATCTTACTTAGTAATTTATTACTAAGAAGGTATATAGGCTCTCTATATTTATTAGCTACCTAAGTAATTACTAAGTAGTTTATAGATAAGTAAGTTAATACTACTATTAAAATATTTTAACTCTAGCTATACTATAAGTAAGAACCCTAGTATTTAAGTTTTAAATATAATATATACTTAGTTAGTTACCTTAACCTACTTATAACACTAGTAAGGTATATATTACCTATGTTTTATTACGTTATTATTTAGAGATACTAATATAGTATATATAAAGTATCTATTAGATATTAAGGTTTAAAGACCTTATATATATAAAAATATAATAATAATATAATAAAGAAGTAGAATATATATTATAGTATTAATAATACTATATACACTATATACACTAGATATAAAAATAACTACTTAGAAAACAGCTATATATACTATATAATAATAATATTTATATATAAAGAATAGGTATTCTAGATAAGACCTCCTTCTTCTCTAAGGGAATCTCCTAGAAATTAAAGAATATAGTTCTAGGTTATATAAGGTAAATAAATAAAATAATACCCTGTAGTAGTTAAAATAATACCCTGCTGTAGGTAAAATAATACCCTTTAACTTAATAACTTACCTATTAAATCTAGAATACTAAAGAAATCCTTAGAATACCTAATAGATAAGTATAAGTAATCCCCTTATATCCCTTGGTCTAGTTAGCTAGTTAGATCTATAAGCTCTTCTATATCTATAATAATATAATAATTCTATATCTTATCTCCTATCTCCTATCTCTAACTTTATCTGCCCCTTTTGCCTCTAAAAGTATCTAATATTATTAGTTAATTAGAGGCCCTAATAAATAACGTTAAGATTTTTTAGTTAAGTAAAGGGGCATAAAGCAGGATAATATATAAGTTTAGCTAATAACGTATATATATAGTAAGTAGCGCATTATAGTAAGTAGTATACGTCTACCTTATTTCTACTAGCTTTATCTTTATATTAACCTTTCTTTATATATAATAATAGAATCCTCTTCTTAAGAAAGCTAAATTATCCTTATAATTATAGCTATCTAAAAAGACTAAAATCTATCTGTACAAAAGGCAGCCTTTATCTACAATATACCTAAAACTACACTTTATTATTAACACACTAGAAAAGTTATATAAGCTAAGATATATTTAAAATTAATAAAGATAACTATATCTAAAGAGGAGGTAATTCTTAAAAGGGTTATTAACCTAATTAATTAAGGATTTCCTCTATAATAAAAAGATATATAAGATATAGCTAATTAACTCCTTAACGTACACAACAGGATATATATTAGACCCTAATAGGCAGAGAACTTTATATAATAATAACCTTAATTAAAAATATAATTTTAACATTAAATTAACTATTAAAGGGCCTTAGCTAAGGATCCTATAATTATATAAGGCTAGTTTATACTTATATAAAATATAATTATAAAGTACAAGATATAGGATTATAATATCTATAATTTTAATAAGACTAGGTTCTTAATAGGAATACTATTATATATAAAGGTTATTATAACTTTTAACTAATATAGAAGGCCTTATATAAAGCAGCCTAGTAATTATAAATAGGTTTCTATTATTTAAGGTATATATATAGATAGCTAGGTAATACCTCTATATATTATTATAAAAAGTAAATATTACCTTTTATTATAGTACCTTAATAGTAAATTTCTAGCTATATAGTGTATTTACCTAAGTAAAAACAGATAAACTATAAATAAAATTAGCCTAGATTAGCTAAAGTACTTTAATTAGTATATAAAGTCTTATATAAAGGGTACTTATTACTTTCTAATCCTAGATAACTATAATAGCTATAAATTAACTAAATTTAATAACTACTATAAGGAAGAAAGTATTATTACTTTATATATACCTCCTTATTTATTATATAAGCTTTAGCCTCTTAATATTAGCTATTTTAGCCCTTTAAAGTACTTATATAGCAAGGAAATTAAGAAAATAATATAGATATAAATTATATATATTACTAAGAATAACTTTTTTTCTACCTTTAAAGTAGTATTCTTTACTTTAATAGAAAAAATAAATATATAAGTAGGTTTTTAATAGGCTAGTCTTATACCTTTTAATCCTAAAGTTATTATTTTTTACCTAGATTTTAAGCTAAAGACACTAACACTAGTTAACTTATATCTAACTAGCTTAGGCTTATAGGACCTAAAGACACTAACAACAGTAATTAAAGGTATATAAAGCTTTACCTTATTAAAAAAAAGAATTAGGGACTATTAAAGAAGTTTACTAACACTAATATATAAGGTAATTAACTTATAGTTAAAGGGTATTAGTAAGTTAGTATATTAACTTACTATTATTAAGGTAAAGAACTATTAACTTTATATAAAGATAAGGGTACTTAGTAAACACTAGAGGGCTAAAAAGACCTAACTATATCTTAGAGAATTACTTAATATAGCTAAAGTAGAGGCACTATAAGGAGAAAAGGACATTATTAAAGCTAGAGGTAAAGAAATATCCTAAAAGGGGGGTTATATAGAGAGTAGTAAACCACTTGCATAATAATATAGTAATTACAGGAAGACTAGATATAACGTATAAACCTATAAGGTAGTTTAGGATACTAATAAAGAATAAGGTAATATATATTTTTAATTAATTTTGTATAATCTAGTTGAATTAAGTTATTAAAAAGATGGAAAGGTAGGTAGATATACGCTACTTACTATAATGCGCTACTTACTATGCATATACGTTAGTAGTATATAAACAGCTATATCTTAAAACGTTTAGACACGTTCTAACATAAAATACTTAGGTAGGGTTTGTCTTAGAGAAGCAGGTTTCTACTATGCTAAATAATATATAAATCATATGTTTATTTCCTTTGCTTGAATAGGAGAGTCTTAGTTGTATCAGGGTTAATAAAGTGGCCTGTATGTCGGTTTGGGTAGCGATCTGTAACACCGTGCGGCAATTTAATATCGTATTGCTCTAGGATCTGACCACATATCATCTTGACGGCATTGTTGGCAAAGAATCTGCCCGGGCACGCGTGCCGGCCATATCCAAAGACCATATTCTCTTTCGTAACTGATACGTATTGGTATTGCTAGGATTTCCTTTGTTTAGCCAACCTCTTAGATTACGCTAGACGTATTAGTCTGTTGAAAGGCACCTCTTACCTCAGGACTAGAGTAATGGAGGCGATCCTCAACCTCCCCGCTGCGTAGCTTGAGGAAGCGGTAGGGATCAAACGTGGATGGATTCTCGTAAAACTCTCCGTCTTGTAAAGCGGCGTACCCGGCCACGCACACATTGAGGCCGGCTGCAAGCTTAGTGCCGTCGGAGAACTCTACGGGTTTAAGTAGAGTTCGTGGTGTAATCATAAGGTTGGGGTTCAAGCGCAGGGATTCCTTCATCACCGAGTCTAACAGCTTCATGTTGAATAAGGCCGAAGTTGACCAAGCCCCATCATGATCGTCTAGCGCGCTCTGGATTTCAGCCCGCAGTTCCGGAATGATTTGAGGGCAGTGGCCAGTGATGTCGTAGAGGCTGTTGTCGGGCAGTCAGCTCTGAACCTCTGAAACATGGCTAAGTTGAGAACGCCGGGGCATAGTTGGCAACAAATGACTGACATATGTACTACAGCTGCGGTAGTATTGTTAAGTGAGGCCATTGTAACTTGTAGCTGACTGTGCACTAGAAACTCGGCATCGTCTCTACCCCACTTCTGCGCCTTGTTGACTAGCCAGCGGAGCAAATCGTTTTGTTCGCTTTCTGTATCCTTGTCACGCAAGGCTCGACGCTGCTCAATAATTGGCTTCAGAAGGTCGTGGGCCTTGCGCATGTGTTCCTGTACGGCGGAGACTTCTGGGCACCAGTACTTGGCGATAGGGCGGAGGAACTGAGGATAGACCTTCAGGGCGGTAGCCGCATGGAATAGATCGGCGACGAAACGTCGGCTAATGTCGAGCCATTCTGGGCTGTGACAGAGTTCAGACCCGACAAAAACAGGGCTTGACACGATGCTAACAATCCCCAAACACGCTTGATAGACATTCAACTCTTTCCAGTCCTCGTTATTGCCTAAAATCTCTAGCATCGCGTGACGAGCTGCATCTGCCATTTTGGCGTTAAGATGTGGAATTTGACGGTTCAAATCTAACCTTAGAACGTGAACCATATATGGGTTTTCAGGGCTGACGCCAAGGATTTTAGACTCCAGTCTCTAGTTAATAATAAATATGCCACCATTTGTTAGCGTGACATAATTCTAAGCAAAAAGGTGAAGTTTAGTGAGCGGATTGCCTACTGATTCTAGTAGAATCGAGCTATTAACTGTTTCATCTGGCATCTTAAGCAGTTCATCAGCGTATCTGATTGGCAATACTAGAACATCGCCTATGTGTCATCATATATAGGTCAGTATTCTGTTTTAACTCTAGATACCTAGCCAGTTACGTTATTTACCATCATGAGTAGTGATTCTGCAAATTTGGTCCTTAAACTGAATTCATAGTAAGTTTGCATTAGCGTTAATGTTTCATATGGCTTAGACGCAATTCAAAACAACCGTACCTTCTTGTAGGCATCGTAGTATACCTCAGCGGCATGCCGGACATAGTAGGTCCTTCTCTTTTCAAACCCTTCGAGATGTTCGCCCCACAAAGGGTATTTTGCGTATAGACTAGGCTTTATAAAAAGTCGTCTAAATAAAGTCGCAATGACAATAACAGTGGCGACACAATACAGGTTAAGTAAAAAGTCCATTGTGAAAGATTATACAACGAAGTCTCACACACTAGGACTAAATCAAGATGCCAACGGTATGTAGCCATCAGTTGAAAAGTCTTTGATGAGGAAGGGTCTGTGAAGTGTATTTATAGTTTATAGTGAAGTCAAAACGGAGGGTAAAGTTAAGGGGATATTCTAAACTGCTAGGTGCAGTTTCATCCTCGTATTGGGGATTGTGGATCTCGTCGGGAACTCCGGCATTGTACGTCTGTCCCTAGCAAATATAATGCAATAGTAGATGTATAAACTAACGCGTAAGCGTCATTAAGGTTTGATTACTGGCGGTAGTTATGGTACGGAAGACGGTCTATACTAAGGCCCGAAAGCCGTCCCAATATACGTTTGACCCTTGGAAGTGGGCCTCTACCACTCAGGATTAAGTAGGTTGATGGCTAAAACTTTCTAGAGTAGACAGTATTTCATCGTAATACGGATACATAGGAAATCTTATGAATGCTTGTGGGAAGAGAAATACATAAATAAGGGTGTTATTCCAAGTTTACAGCTTAAATTGTATGAAACCCTTAACTCACAATACTCCCTCACGCTATTTCAGACCCCCACATCTTTCTAAACACATCTCTTTATCTATCCCATCTTGTAAATCACCGTCATGGTAGAGACAAAAGCCTTTACAGCTAGCAGTGCTAGCTCTGATAGCATTTTGAACAGAGCCAGAGAAGACGACACGTCGGCGAACCGACCGTATCTGGTCTTTTGCTCAACCGCGGCTTCCGGTCATTTTTACCCGATATTGCAAATTGCGACGCACATGGTCCAGCGAGGTTTCGAAGCGACAATTATCACAGACAAGAAGCATGAGCAGCAAGTCATTAGCTCAGGCGCGGGACATGTCGCTCTTCCTTTTTTCATGCCGTCTCCAGAGTCGCTGGAGGAACGCAAGGAGCTGACAAACGGCTTCCAGTCTATGGTTTGGGGCCTCACCCATGTGGTGATGAAACGGACTCCGCTTTACTACAAGACTGTGGTAGAGACCCTGGAAGCCTTGCGTCAGGAACGTCCAAGTCAACAAATCATCATCATCCAAGACTTAGTCTTCATCGCTGCTAATGCCCTTGCTTTGGGCGCGCGGTTGCCCACAGGGTTCACAGTGAGACCAACTATCATCCACGTCAACGTCGTTCCGCTACCGGTTCCTAGTATCGATATTGGACCCTTCGGCTTTGGTCTGCCACCTGACTCATCTGAATCCGGCCGCTCCCGAAACAAGCTTTTACATCAGCTCTGTTGCAGCCCTCAGGGTCCTTTTGCAGCTTTTTGTAACGAGTACAACCGAGTCATGGAGTGCCTTGGCGTCACTGTTGATCCTACTATCGACGCCTTTATATCTATCACATCTTGCCCGGACGTTACACTACAGGCCTGCTCGCCAAGTCTTGAGTACCCCAGATCAGATCTACCGGATCACGTCAAATTTATCGGTTGCCTGCCGCGCAAATCCCTGGATCCTTCCTACAGATATCCTGCATGGTGGAGCAGCATTACCAACCCTCTTCACTTGCAGCGTAAAAAGATTATCGGTGTAGCGCAAGGCACAATTGCGGTCGACTACAATCATCTTATTATACCCACAATTCAGGGGCTAGCCGACCGTGATGACATAATTGTCGTCGCACTCCTGGGCGTGAAAGGAGCATCTCTGTCGGAGGGTTTCCAAGTGCCCTCCAATGCGAGGGTACTCGATTTTATGCCTTACGAAGCACTACTCCCGCACCTTGATGTGTGGGTGATAAATGCTGGGTACGGCGGATTTACGCAAGGCATCATGCACGGCGTCCCGATGGTGCTGTGTGGAGATACTGAGGATAAAGCCGATGTGTCTATGCGTGGTGAGTGGGCTGGTGTAGGGTTTAACCTAAGGACAGGATCACCGACACCACAACAGGTTGCAAGGGGTGTTGAAGAGGTCCTCACGAATCATAAATATAAGAGACAGGTGGTAGCGATACGGAAAGAGAATGTGGAAATGAACAGTTTGGAAACTATAGAATCTTACATTTGGCGTTTTACAGATAAAAAGAAGGGAAAATAAGGCATGGATGGTATCCTGTAGTTAGATGTATCTAGATTATAGCAAGTAGCGCATCTGTCTCAAATCCTATCCTCCTCATCTATATATACGTTTAGGTACAGAATCTCACTCCAATCAAAGGAAAAGTATTATTAATATGAATGGTATACAAAAGACCTGAAATATACATCGAAAGAGTATCCTCTATTTTACTAGTCTTTTCATTAGCACTTACTACTAGCCGAGTAATCGAGACCTGTAGGTGCTCTAATATACCTAGAGCACCTCGACAAAACAGGTGAACGCACTATTATAGGTAAAAATGAGTCATTGTACACGTATATCCTTCAAAAGTAACATCAACCGTACAAATACCAGCTGCCGAATACATAGCCACTCAGATCCAGGAACAATACGACCCGTGACCCAATAACTAATCCTTTGACGGCAATGAATCCGCCCAGTTCTCGACGTAGCTCGCGAAAATATCCATAACAAGAGCAAAAAAGCGCTCAACCTCTTCAGGCAATTCATCGCCGTGCGTCGTGTATTTATTACCCCAACTGGTCGTTGACCCGCCTTTGTAAATATTGAAAATGGATTTACTGCGAAATACGTCTTTGATCATCTCTTCACCTGCCGACTTTGATACAACGTCGTAGTGCTTGCCTCGGTCCTGTTCGTTGAGAAAGCTATGAATTCTGAGATGACTGCCAGGCTCCTTCGCAGCATAGACCACGTCGGCGCGCTCATTTAGCTTGACAAACAAGGACTCTGGTGAGTTGGTAAACACCTGGTTAGCTGGGAAGAATCCGTCCTTGACACAAGCAACGTCGTAAAAGCAGTTCGCAAGGCACGAATTCTCTGACGTTCCCCTTCCAAGCACCAACATATGCCCTCGATTGGTCGAAAGACGGTTTATCTCCTGGAGCCGTCTGAGAGAGCTGTGCTCCTCCTGAGTCAGCCTGATTGAATAGGCCAAGCGTAATTGAAACAGGGCCAGGCATGCAGCATCGTTAGAGAGCTTCTCTAATCCCGGCGTCCGGCACTGAGAGAGTAGTTCAGGAGAGGTTAAATAAGTGTGCTCCTTTCCAAGGAATGAAGTCATTATATCGGTACCCCATATCCCAACGTCTTCGCCGACAAGAAGACTGTTGAGAGTTCCCTCAGACGCAGCAGTATCGATCTGGCTAACGTGAAGCTCGCCCATTATAGCTTGGCGTTCTTTCAGGAAGAATGGACCAGCATAGGAAATGGAGGTACAGGTTATATATGTCTCGTCGCGATCATCATCAGGTACAATGACGCTCTCTGTATGCATGGCGGAAACTTCGCCATCACGGGAGGGCATCATCATAACCATGAAGTAGATAGTAGCTCCAGCGTAGACCTTGGGGATACTGTTATCAATGTCCGCAAGTTCCCCTAGCTTGATAGCGCTACTTGTGACGGCGTATCGAGTTAAGAGTCCGTCTAGTAGCGTAGGCGGGACAGTAGTTAGACCTAAGTCTGCGCCTGTCTTGTTGGCATGATCAGGATGACGAATGATCTTGGTGAAAGCTTTCCTAACCCTTTCAACATGGGCTTGGATAGGATCGCTTGAGGACAAGCAAGCAATTCTGATGATTCCAGGAAATTTCGTGGTAAGGTAAGCAATCCTCTCGGCCATCGTTGGTAGAAGGATCAATTCATCTCTGGAAACGTTCCAGTTTGTGTTCGGAAACGCTCGTTGATAAAGGGGAGAACGCTCATCTCGAGGGCGCTCGGTAGTGCTGGCCATAACGGGGAAATGAAGTGGAAAGATATGAAGGTTGATAACAAGTCATAGCATTGACCACGCTATACAGCATGGAATGAGGAACAGAGTGCACATTGCTAGCTATATACTCCGTTGACGACTTATTCATGTGGGGATTACGTATTCCAGTAGGCGGGTTTATAAAGTTTTGACAGGGTTTGTCACGCAGTCGGGGTTTCGGCATCCGCGCTGTCCGTGGATAAGTCTGTCTAATGAGGAGATTAACCAGGTAGCGCAGTTCCAGTGTAACACAACACTAAGCGGTTTACATAATATAGTAGTATAGAGATAAGTATCTGTACATAGTACAAGTATAAATGTTAAATAGGGCAAATTTTAACAGTATATAATAGCGAAGTCGCGTGGAAAAGTTAATAGAGGCACCTTATTAAATAGCGAGGATACCCTGCTGCCCTCTAGCTATCTTATCCCTAGCTACTAATATATTAATCCTGACTAGGTTATATTCCTAACCTTGACCTCTAGTCTTGATATGTATTTATAACCTCTACTATATAATCTATATAAATAGTAAAAACTCTACTTATAGTGTCCACGGCCATCCGCTGCGGCACTTCAGTAAACTGCGCGCTGTGCTGCCCTTCTGCAACTAAACAGTTGGCCCTACTATGGGAGGTTGATGGCCTCTTTTTACCAGCAGTCACTGAGTTGGCTACGTGGTATGGCTTTTCTTGGGTACGGCAAAGAGTGACGGCAGCCTTAAAGACAGTGGCATCGGTTGTTTTTTCCCTTCTGTCATCTTTGTTGATTGTCTCCACCGAAATTCCGTTCTGCACAGGGGTGCTTCTCTGCCGTCTACTTGGAGTAGCTCGGTCATGTCAGTGCAGGACACGGGGTTGTATGCCGTTTGAAAGCTTTCGCAACTACACCGTAATTGTGTCAGATTGAGCAGCACCTTTTTCTTGAGTACAACAGCTTACAAGTTGGTTTACGTTTGGGATGCTCTGTCCTCTTAGAACATAAATAGCACTATCCAGTTGTCTAGAGATTGGGTCGTAGTAGATAACGGCGGAAAATAAAGAGCAGAAGAAGAAAAGCTTAGGCAAGTGCTTCATATTTTACTGAAAAGTAATAAATATAGACACTACTAGACAAGCAGCTAACAGTAAAGGTGGTGCTGCCATTGACGGCTGCCACAGTAGAGCAGTGCGGCTGGTACTCAGACAGGAGCCAGAAGACCGGCTATAATTATTTCTAGATCTAATTACTGTCTAGGCTAAGGCTATAGTCTAGCGTGTTAACAGGACTCGCTGAGCAAGTAGGCGTGTCTAGACTTAGGAGAAGAGTGTCGTCAAGATAAATTATATAATTATTAGTACAAATACGCGTACTAGTTAAGTTAAAAGACACTAATTTTATATAGCTAACATTATAAGTCATATTATATTTCCCTGACTTTATGTTCTAGAGCTTTACAGTCTTGTCCTATAACGCTAAGACAACGCGCTACCTATTAGGCAAGAAGGCCACCAAGTTAGCCTATTCTATATAGCCCTTAAGCGTCTTCTTATAATTCCCTGTCTATATAATCTAGACCTTAATAGTCTTGTTACTTAATACAGAGACAATATACTACTTATAGGGTAAAAAGGTTACTAAGGTAACCTTATCTATATAGCCTTTAAGCGCCTTCTTATAGCTATAGAACTATTAATATTATATAGAAATACTAGTAGTATAGTATTAGAAGGTTATAGAGTAAGAGAGACCTATATAGTATAGTAATCTAAGGAGAAACACTAATAACCCCTAAGGTAACACAAGATACTTCTTTAATTAGTTAAAAACTTAAAGGCTTACCTTAATTAAACTATTAAATCCTTTAGATTAAGGACGCTAGATATTCTAATTATAAAAAGAAGGTATCTAATTAAGTAAATTCTAGATATAATCTAAGAAGTAAAACTCTTAATTATTTTATATTATTATACTTAATTAGCTTATAAAAGAAAGGTTTATAATCTAATTAAGCTAAAAAGTAAATTTAAAAAAAAGATTTTATTAATATTTTATTTATATAATTAGTGTTCTTTATATAGGCTTTTCTTATAATTAAAATAACTACTTTTCTTTTTTATATATCTTTATATCTCTAATTAGCTTAGATTAATCTCTAAATTACTTTACTTTATTTTAATTATCCTTTAGTTTCTTTCTTATAGCCCTTAAGAGAAGAAAATATATAAAATAGAAAACCTAAACCTAATTAAGTATTTATTAGTCTACGTTTACTTTTTACTACTTTTTTTTTTAGCCTAGTACTCTCTTTTTTCTCTTTATTTACTTTATCTTATTCTAATCTAGTGTTATAATATACTTATCTCTCTTATTTATCTAGTATTATTAAAGACACTTAAGAAGTAGTTCTAAAACTATAAGCTACTTTATTAAGTAGATTACTATATTAATTAACTTATTATAATTATATATACTTAATAATATTTAATTAGCCTTTAACTTTAGTATATTACTTAAGAAGATTTATATATCCTTAGACTACTATAGTTTATATAATTATATGTTTTTTTTACTTAGATTCTTTTTTTTAATCTTCTAGTTAAAAGTTAAAAAGACAAGTAAATTAAGTAACTTTAAGGCTATTAATTAATATTAGTTTATAGATCTTAGTAAGTAGTATAAAGATAATAGTATATTAAGAGAAAAGATATTTAAAGTATATTTTTATTAAGGGCTTAAGAGAGTATACTATAGTTATGAAGCTTAAAGATATACTATAAATATAGTAAAGTTACTATAGTACTAAATATAAATTCTACTATAATTAAATATAAATAGATTTAGTAAGATTAGAGTTACTTAAAAACTAACTCTTTTATTAAATATATACTATCTATATTTTATATTCTATATTTTTTTAATAAATATATAAATACTTTTTATTTTAATGTTTTTTTAAATCTAAGAAATATATTTAAAGTTAGTAGCTTATAAACCTAGAGTCTTTAAGACCTATAAGTAAGATAAGTACTTAAAAATACTATAATAAGTATATCTATAAATTAAATCTAATTCTTTAATGAAAAGTATATTTTAAAATAAGAATTAATAAAGAGGTACTCTTATATTAATATATAGATATTCTTTTATATAAGTACCCTTAATATATATTTTTCCTAGTCTAAAAGATTTATATTACTATAACTAAATTTTACTAAGTCTATATTAAGTATCTTCTTTTTATCTTTCTTGCTACTTAATTATTTTAAACTTAGTCTTATCTATATTATTTACTTACTATAGCTTTATAAGGTATTCTATTATATAAAACCTAACTTATTTACTTTTTTTATATTAGCTATATATATTAAGAGGTATAAGTAACTAATTATAAAGAGCTACTACTACTAGTTAGTAACTCTTTATTATTATTATTTTTAGTTACTAGTTACCCTAATATTAGCTAATCCTATAGATTTAAAGACCTTTAGGGGTAATATAACCTTATTACTAGTGAATTTAAAAATATAAAATATAAAAATACTAATATATATATTTATATTTCTAGAAAAACATAAATATATATATTTATATTTATATTTTATTATAAAAATATATAGTTGTTTTACTAATTATATTAAATATATAAATATTATACTTAGATAGGTTATTATTTATATAGTATAGAACTAGTGTATTCTCTTAATAATTACTACTAGTTAACTAGTATATAGAGAAAACAGTTTTATACTTTATATAAAAGTAGTTTATTAAATATATACTATTATTAACTATATAGAATTACTAAAATAATAAATAAATACTATAAAATTAATACTAATAATAGTAAAAAAGTATAGTTTATTATATTAAGTATATAGTATATATTATTATTAAATAGTAATAAGTAACTAAGGTAATAAGTAAACACACTATAAGTATAAAGGTAAGTATATAGTATTACTAAAGCTAAAAGCTACTCTTTCTTTTCTTCTTTCTTTTTTTTCCTAAGTATTCCTAGTGTATATATACTTACTTTACTTCTGTGTGCCCTCTAAGTATATAATCCTCTTGTGTACCCTATACACTTACACTATATACCTTACTTATTTAGTGTTATATAATACTTAACCTACACTTAGCTTATTTAGCCTATTTATCCTTAATATAGTGCTTTTCTTCTCTAGGCTTTTGTCCTAGAAGCCTCTTTAGAGTAGGCTAGCTTTAGTGCTATTTCCTTTACTACTCTACTATACTATAAGCTTCTGTGGCCCCTTATATACTACTATATTACTATATATCCTCTTTATATAATTTTCTTTTTCTATAGTATTACTATAACTTCTTTACTTAGTCTTATGTGTTATTACTGTTATATAAAACTAGGTAGACGTAAAAGGCTTCTTCTTTTTTTTCTAGTTTTTTTCCCTTTAAATTAGGCCTCCCTAGGCCTATATAAATAACTCTTTATAGCTATTTTCTTTTTTTTTCTTTTTCTTTTTTTCTTTAACCTAAATTAACTATATAGATTCTTTTTCTTTTATTATTATAATTTTATTATTTTCTTTATACTTTTACTATACTTATTAGCCTTACTAACTTATTATTATTATATCTAGGTAGAAGTGTATTTTATACTTCTCTTTACCTTATTTTTTTTATAAGCGCTATATACCTATAGTACTTTTTATACTTATTTTATAATCCTATGCTAATATTTATATAGAAATTTTAAATACTTACTTACTTCCCTCTTTACTTAACTACTACTATATGCTTATTTTACTTACTTATTTACTACTTAGGTATTAATATTTAGTTTTATAGATAGTGCCTCCTAAGGGTCCTCCTAAGCTTCCTAAGGGCCCCCCTAAGGGTCTCTTAAAGACTAGCTTTACTACCCCTAAGGGTAGTATAAAAGTATACTTTATACTATTTACTTACTACTTTTATTTATTACTAACTCTATATAGAAGCCTTCTAAGAAAAAAGGCTTTATATATTATAAGTATAGTAAAGTATATAATATACCTTATATACTCTATATATACTACCTTTATACTAATAAGGCTACTAAATACTACTTTAACTAAGGTAATATATTTTATTATTATTACTACTT